CCCCGGCCGCTCTCCGGCGGGGGGAGCAAGAAATGGACCTCACCCCCTCCTCCCCGCCGCGGTCGTCTTTTTGCCGCCTGCCAGGAGCAGAGCACTTTTGACCACTTTGACTTTCTTAAACTCTGTCCCCACTTCATAGCTGGGGACATTTTTTTTTTTTAGCACTTTCCCTTTTTAAAATTCTAATATGAGTTTAAGAGGCCGCTGCCCCCACCCCCACCCCCCACAGATGGGGGAACTGATGCTTGGGAGGGTTCTGTGACTTTCCGAGCGCACATCACACAGTCACGAAATATCTATCCACGGATTACGTAATCGTTGCAAAGAGAAAACGGTAACTTTGGAGAAAACTTGTGCGAATCCCTTTAACCAAGTAATCAAAATTAATTTGACCACTAATGGCAAACCACCGCTTGTACCTCCTGATACACAGCATCAGTTCTGTGATATTCCTGCCAGAGATACTTAACCTGCATCTAATCATGATGAGATGACAGATGAATTCAAATTGAGGGACACTCTGCAAGATAACTGGGCTGTACTTTTCAAAAAGGTCCAGGCCACGAAAGAAAAATACATTATGTAGAGGAAGAAAGTTAAATGATGGCTGCCAGGGGCAGGGGGAGGAGGGAATGAGGAGTTGTTAAAGGGTAAAGAAATGAAAAGGAAGCCGGCCAGGTGTGGCTCAGTGATTGAGTGTGGTCAGGAGGTCAGATTTGGATTCTAGGTCAGGGCACAAGCCCTGGTTTCGGGCTGGATCCCCAGTAGGGGACATGCAGAAGGCAGCTGATCAATTATTTTCTCTCTACCCCTTCCCCTGTGAAATCAATAAAAATATGTGTGTGTGTTTTTAAATATCAACAGAAACATTTTTTGAAAAAGAAATGGAAAGGCAGACAAAAAAAGTTCTGGAGATGAATGTGGTAATGGTTGCACAGTAACTTGTGAAAGTACTTAATTTCACTAACTGTACACTTAAAATGGTTAATTTAATGTTACGTACATTTTATCCCAACAAAAAAAATACATAAAATAAAATTTAGTTATGTTATCTGAAAGAAATGAAGCATCTTTTTATATGTTTAAGGGTCATTCATGTTTCATTTCCCTGAACTGTGTTCATATTCTTTGCCCATTTTTCCACCATGCTGTTGATCTTCTTAATTTATATATAGATAGAAGAGGGAAGAGAGAGAGAGAGAGAGAGGGAGAGAGAGAGAGTCTGGCCTCTTGTTTATAATATTAGTTGCAATACATTTTTCTTCTTCATTGTGTGTCTTTGACTTTACTCCTGATATTACAAGTTAACATGCCGAATATTTTTAATGTAGTTGCATGTATAATTTTTTAAAAAATATATTTTATTGATTTTTACAGAGAAGAAGGGAGAGAAATAGAGAGTTAGAAACATCGATGAGAGAGAAACATCAATCAGCTGCCTCCAGCACACCCCCTATTGGGGACGTGCCTGCAACCAAGGTACATGCCCTTGACCAGAATTGAACCTGGGACCCTTCAGTCCGCAGGCCGACGCTCTATCCACTGAGCCAAACCAGTTAGGGCATAATTTTTTTTAATTTATTGAATTTTATTTTTTAGAGAGAGAGGGACAGTGCTAATGAGAGAAACATTGATGTGAGAGTCAAACATCCATTGGCTGCCTCCTGCTTGACCCCCACCGAGGATCAAGTTGCAACCTGGGCATGTGCCCTGACTGGGAATCAAACCAGCAGCCTTTCATGCACAGGACCGCACTCAACCAGCTGAGCTGCACTGGCCAGGGCCAATGTACACTTTTTTTTTTTTTACTTCTCAATTCTGAGTCATAGCTAGACCTTCTCAACTCCAAGGTGTCTCAAAAATAGTGTAAAAGCTCAATAAATGCTGTTGAATAAATAAATCCAACTGAGCCAAAATCATCCTCTTCTAAGCACTGTGAAGAATCTTCATGGAGCCATTCTCCCATTTCTTCGCTCCACCTCTACCCACCCACCTCCCAGCCCTCCCCTCTGGCAGATATTCTCTGTCTTTGACTTGTGGTTATCTTTGTCTTTATTGTGTACACAGTCCATGATGTACCCGTGTTCGTCAGGGCCAGACTGCTTCTGAGTCATCCATTCACCTATCACGGGACACCAAACACACGTTCAATAAATGCTTGAGGTGTGACTGTCCAAGGGAGGGCCTGCAACTCTTTCCCCAGGTCTTTCTCCCTGAAGTATTTGTTTATAGTTTTCTTTTTTAAACTTTTTGTTTTATTATTATTTTTGTTTGTTTATTAATCCTCACCCGAGGATATTTTTCCATTGATTTTTAGAGAGAGTGGAAGGGAGGAGGAGGGACAGAGAGAGAGAAACATTAATGCATTGATTGCCTCCTGCAGGCACCCTGACCAGGGCCATGGATCCATGGATCCATTGGTTAGGCCTATATGCATGCATACACATCCTTTGGTTGATCTCTCCCCCTTACCCCCACCCTCCCCTACCTTCCCTCTGAGGTTTGACAGTCTGATCGATGCTTCTCTGTCTCTGGATCTGTTTTTGTTCATCAGTTTATGTTGTTCATTATATCCCACAAATGAGTGAGATCATGTGATATTTATCTTTCTCTGACTGGCTTATTTCGCTTAGCATAATGCTCTCCAGTTCCATCCATGCTGTTGCAAATAGTAAGAATTTCTTCTTTTTTACTGCAGCGTAGTATTCCATTGTGTAGATGTACCACGGTTTTTTAATCCACTCATCTGCTGATGGCACTTAGGCTATTTCCAAATCTTAGCTATGGTGAATTGTGCTTCTATGAACATAGGGGTGCATATATCCTTTCTGATTGGTCCATTGATTTTTAAAGAGAGTGGAAGGGAGAGGGAGAGACATAGAGAAACATCGATGTGTCAGGGATTGAGCCTGCAACCGAGGTGCCCTTGACATATCCGTGACTGGAATTGAACCCAGAACCCCTTCAGTCCACAGGCCGATGCTCTATCCACTGAGCCAAACCGGCTGTTTATACTTTCCTTCTGGCTCTTGGTCTGCCTTAAAGTTCAGTGATGTGTGTTCCTGTCTCTTCATCCTGCCCATTCCCTTCTCAAGTCCTTTTGATGTTTCCTCTGCCTGGGGAGAGGGGGTAATGTCTCTCCACAGGACTTCAAAATCTGGCTTACAGGCCGAGGCAGAACATGTAGACTGAGTATTTGTGCCTCCCCGACTCCGTCATTATGCTGAAGCCTAATCCCCAATGTGACGGAATTTGGAGGTGGGGTTTTCGGGAGGTGGGATTAATGTCCTTATAAAGAGACTCCCTCTCTCCTCCACCATGGGGAGGACACAGAGGGAAGAGGGCTACGAGCCAGGAAGCCAGTCCTCAGCAGACCCTAAATCTACCAGTGTCTTCATCTTGCCAGGCTCCAGAATTGTGAGAAATAAATTTCTCTTGTTCATAAGCTGCTAGTATATGGTATTCATTTATTGCAGCCCAAATGGACTAAGACACTCCAGGGCTTCAAAAGACTGGTTTCTCACCAGTCAGGATTTAGCTGAAAGCTCCCCTCCCCTCAGACGTTCCTAACTCCAAGGCCAATCTAGCTCTCCAGCCACTTGTTATCATATCACCTGGTTTTGTTTTCTTCCCAGAACATCATTATCTAACATTATTTTATTTGCATATTTGTTCATGGTCAGAGTTCTCCCCCTGCCTCCAATAATGTCAGCTCCTTGAAGTGTGAGACAAGGCCCCCTTGTTTCCTGGTATATTGTCAGCCTCTAGGAAGGCTGGCACATAGTAAGTGACTAATAAATAGTTGTTGAATGAATGAAAGATGGTTGCCTGGGAGCTCCTTCAGGGAAGGATTGGGTCTAAATAATAATAATATAATAATAGTTATAGTTATAATAGCTATTTATTGAGCCTGACAAATGTACTAAGCTCTACAGCAAGTGCATCTCATGATTATCTCATTTAATCTTTAGGACAACTCAGTGGGGTAGGAGTTACTAGTATCTTTAATTCCCATTTGTCAGATCAAACTGAAGCTTAGAGGAGTTTCATCACACAGCTAGGGCTAGACTGCTGATTTTCGAAGTGTTGTACCTAAGGAGCCACAGCTTCAGCATCGCCTAGAAATCTGTTAGAAATACACTTTCTTAGGCCCCACCCCAGACATACTGAGTCAGAAACTCTGGGATGGAGCCAGCAATCTGAATTTTAACAAACCCTCCAGGTGATTATGATGCATTAGTGTGAAAAACCCTGTGAAAGAGGAGCTTGGATTCTTATTTATGTATGTATGTATGTATGTATTTATTTGTTAATCCTCACCTGAGGATATTTTTCCCATTGTTTTTTCAGGGAGAGAGAGAGAGGGAGAGAAACACGTCACATCACTTGGTTGCCTCCCACATGTGCCCCGACGAGGGGCAGAGATTGAACCTGCAACCCAGGTATGTGCCTTGGACTGGGAATCGAACCTGAGACCCTTCAGGATGTGGGGCTGAGCTCTAACCACTGAGAAAACCGGCCAAGACTTGGACTTTTTTTTCTTTTTAAAAAAATATGCTTTTATTGATTTTAGAGAGAGGGAGAGGGATATAGAGATAGAAACATCAATGATAGAGACATGGATTGGCTGCCTCCCACACACTCCCTACTAGGGACTGAGCCTGCAACCCAGGCATGTGCCTGACTGGGAATCAAACCAGGCACCCCCTGTTCATGGGTCAACGTTCAACCACTGAGCCACACTGAGCTGGACTCTTTTTTAAAAAACTGCATTATTGAGATATAATTTACATACTATACAATTCTCCCATTTAAGTATACAATTCAATGGGTTTTAGTACACCTATAGGGTTGTGCAACCATCTCAAAAATAAGTTATGATTAGATTAATGGATTATAACGTTTTTGTCTCCTCTGAAAGAAACCCCTTATCCATTCCTCTCCCATTACCCAGCCCCAGCCCTAAGCAACCACTAATATATTTTCTACCTTTATAGTTTTGCCTGTTCTGGATATTTCATACAAGTGGAATCATAAAAATATATATGTGATTTGCTGTGAATGGCTTCTTTCACTCTGCATATGTTTTTTTAAAGTTCATCCATGTAATAGCATCTATCCTTTTTATTGACAAATAATATTCTATTTATGGATATACCACATTTTTTTTTACTCATTCATCAATTGATGAACACTTGGGTTGTTTCAAATTTTTGGCTATTGTGAATAATGCTATGAACACTCATGTATAAGTTTTTGTATGGATATATGTTTTTATGTCTCTTGGTTACTATATATATGCACATCTATCTATCTATCTATCTTTCTTTCTTTCTATCTATCTATCTATCTACCTATCTGTCTATCTATCGAGGAGTAGAATTGACGGGTCATAGATCTTACCCTCTAAATCACTACACATTTCAGCTAGTCTGCTAGTCTTCGTCTCTGCTATTATTAAATAATTATATCATTAATAACACCAATATTCTATCTATTAAGTGTCTTTGTTGCAAAGCCCTTTACTTTTATTTTTTAATATTTTTATTGATTTCAGAGAGGAAGGGAGGAGAGAGATAGAAACATCAATGATGAGAGAGAATCATTGATTGGCTGCCTCCTACACGCCCCCCACCAGGGACTGAGCCTGCAATCAGGGCATGTGCCCTTGACAAGAATCGAACCCAGGACCCTTCAGTCCGCCGGCCGATGCTCTATCCACTGAGCCAAACCGGCCAGGGCACCCTTTACTTTTATTATCATAAATCCTCACTCAATCCTTTGTCACAGGAATCATTATTCCCTGTAGTACAGGGAGAGAAATTGGAGTGCACAGGCATACGGCAATTTGTCTGCACTCAGACAGCTAACTCGGGCAGTGCTGGAGCCACAACCCACGTGGGCCTGTTTTCTGTGCCCTCTGTGCCTGCTGCCATGTCCTGGGCCAGACCCTGTCCCAAAGCTGTCGTAACATGCCTCCTGCCCTCCTTTGGGGCATTTTCTGGAAGTTAGATTGGCCTGAAATCCCAAGGGAGAAAGCTGTACACTCACTCCCCATGCTCTTTTCCCCAGCTGGCACTGAAGGCCAGGGGAGGGGCTTCCCCCGGGGAGCTGGAAATAAAATGAAGGGAGGGCTGAGCTGAGCAGGGCAGTACTATAAGGAGGTTAGGAGACTGTGAGGGGGAGGTAAGGAGTTTTTTGTTTTGTGGTGTTTTGTTTTTTGGCTCTTGGAGAGCAGGTGAGGTGGGGCTTGGCAGAGTTTTGCTATGGATAGGGAATGGGAGTGAGGAGTGAGGCCCAAACAAGCAGACTTGGGTAGTGAGCTTTCACAGGCAAGGCAGGTCTGAGGAGCCCCCTTCCCCACGTCGTTAGAAGGAAAGAGTGATTTTACCTGACTGTGGAGGGGGCTTTTCTTCCATGACCGCTCCTTGAGCCCCTTATTCTGTGCCAGGTCCTTGCTGTGCTGGGGGCTAGGATTAGGGAGAACATCTCAGGGCCAGGCACCCCGTGCCTAGGGGGCTAAGACAGAAATAGACACTTGGCTAAGAAGTAGGAAGGGCAGGTTGAAGGGGAAATTCTGTGAGCTGTGTATGAAGGCTTTCCAAGGAGTGGAAAGCAATGCAACTAGGGCTTCAAAGCTACAAACATTTAGCTCTGGGCCAGAGGAAGGCATTGCAGGTGGAGGGGACTGCCGTTTGCATGCTTGGAACATGCAAAGCTGGAGCAGAGAGGTTTAGGAGATAAAGTGGTAGCAGGTGAGCCCAAAGCTGTCAGCTAGAGCTATACTGTCCAGTATGGTTGCCAGGAGCCATAAGACACCATGGCTATTTAAATTCAGTTAGCATTAAAAATAATTACAAATCCAGCCCCGTGGGCATCCTAGCAACATTTTAAGTGCTCAATAGCCACATTGGGCGAGTAGCTATGGAAACAGAGAGAACAGATGTAGAACATTCTCCATCATCTCACAAAGTCCCTTTAGTCAGTGGGAAGCCTCAGGAGGGTTTGGATTGCTCAAGGACCTACGGGAGAGAGCAGGCTTAGCCTGGGCTGCCTGGCCTGTGAGGCCTGGCCTGTGATGTCTCTGGACTACAGCTGAGGGAACAGTCCCCAGCAGCGTGAGGTGGTGTGACTCACCTCCTGCCAGCATAAAGTGGACTCTGCCCCCAGGGACAGGAATTAACCAGGCCGGGCGTCTTTAGCTCCAACTTGGGATCCCTGATCAGTGTGAGCAGAGCCAGAGTCAGAGAAACATGGAGTGAGTGGTACTAGGGAGGGTGGAGCAGCTGAGTGGGCCTGAGCCTGGGCACTGAGGGGGTCTCCAACTTGGTCACCGTCGGTGTGCACAGGGCTGGACAGAAAAAAGGCTGAGGAGGGTGTCTGTGAATTGAGAGGGGAGAGCAGGGTGGAAGCTTGCTGGATGGGGGTGGGGTGGTTCTGTGTCAAATGATGAGAGAACGGAAACCCTCCCAGTCCACGGTAATGAGCTGTTTCTGCTTCCTTCCCAGGTCCAATGCAGTCCAGCTGACGAGGATGGAATATGCCATGAAGTCCCTCAGCCTTCTCAACCCCAAGTCCCTCTCCAGGTGAGGAGAGCCGAGGGTGAAAGGGAAGGGGAGCTACCTGTGAGCGGTAGGGGAGAACTTCTCAAATTTCAGTGGCACATAAATCACTTGTGTATCTTCGTAAAGTGTAGATTCTGATTCAGGGGCTCTGTAATGGGACCCAAGATTACCACCACACTATGCTTGTGCTTTCATTCTTGATCTCATTTCAGCCTCACCACGACTTTGGGAAGTGGGGATGATTATGCCAAATTAATAGACGAGGGAACTGGGGCACAGAGTGGATGCTTTCGATTACCTAGCAAATGGATAGTGGGGCCAGGATTCTAACTTTGCCTGCCTGTCTCCAAAACCCAGGTTCCCTCCACTCCTTTGGTTCTACATTGTGTTATGTCAGAGTACAAAAACACCTTACACTGACGTCAGCTTCGCCACTTTATCTCACTTTACAGGTGAGAAGAGTGAGGCCAAGAGAGGAAAGTGGAATTGGGGGAATGTGGGTTGGGTCTTCTCTCACTCCGTTCCCCCTCATGGTCTGAGAACCCGCAGAGTCAATATCACTTGAGACACATAGAATCTCACACTCCACCCAGACCTACTGAATCAGAATCTGCATTTCACCAAGATCCCCACAGGACTTGCATGCCCATTAAAGTCTCAGATGTACTGATGTGGCTGACTTTTGAGTAAGACTATCTAGAGCAGGCCTGGTAGGTGGTAGGGGAGGAGGAATATGGTGAACTCAGCCTACAGGGATTGCTATGGGGTGAGAGCTGGGAAGCAGCAGGCAGCTTATTCTAATGCCCCAAAACTCCCCCAGGTATGTGGCAGTGAGCACCTCGGTGGTCACCCAGCAGCTGCTGTCGGAGCCCAGCCCGGAGCCCCTCAGAGCCCGGCCCTGCAGAGTGAGCACCCAGGACCGGAGTGTGCGGAAGGGCATCATGGCGCACAGCCTGGAGGACCTCCTCCACAAGGTGAGGGGAGGGCCTGACCTCTGCACAGCCCAACCACTGGGACCTTGGCTCAGAGTTGGCCCTGCCTGCTGCCTCTGTCCTCCAGGTCATGAGCTGCAAGTTCAGTAAGGATGAAGTTCATGGCTTACATGGCGAAAAGATTTCCTTTCTCAGGCCAGGTCAAGTGGGTTGGTAGTGCCTGCCTGGAGTGCTGTCCAGTTGATTAGTGTTGTCTGTCTGTTGACAGGGGGAGGGCAGTATATTGCTTTCCTATATCAACATCAGTGGTATTTTCAGAGCATAATTGCTCCCTGGAAGGATCCTTAGGTTGCCTTTTACAGTCGTTCTTAAACTTGTAGAAGTGCCTGGAAGCTGGGGAAATGGGCAAGATTTTAGACATTCCCTTTTCCATCCATCTCCTCCCTTCAGCCAGGGCAGTTCTCAGTCTGTTTCCTATACTGACCTTCCACGCAAGGATTTTTTAATAGCTGTAGAAGACTTTCTTCAAACTGTTAATCAGGGAAGCTTCCAGGGGAGAAAACCAAGGATATACAACTCCATCCATCTCCTCCCTTCAGCCAGGGCAGTTCTCCTCAGTCTGTTTCCTATACTGACCTTCCATGTGAGGATTTTTAAATAGCTGTAGAAGACTTTCTTCAAACTGTTAACCAGGGAAGCTTCCAGGGGAGAAAACCAAGGATATACAACGTTTGTGGATGGTAGTCACAGCAGGCAAGAATGACACCCTTCCCCATTTCCAGCTTCCTCTCCACTGCTTGGGGTTATCTTCCTCCGTTGCCCGGCCTACAGCCTCATCTATTCTGGCTCCATATTAGTCATGTGCTTCACTGCCCCACTAGCTTATCAGCTCCAGGGGGTGGGACCCTGCTCATCTGCAAGTCCAGGTGCCTGACACAGATCAAATGTTTGAATTAGGCTTCCAATTACTAGTCTGTTTAACATATAGAAATCATAGCTCGCCCTAGCTGGTTTGGCTCAGTGGATAGAGCATCAGCCTGCGAACTGAAGGGTCCCAGGTTCAATTCCAGTCACGGGCACATGCCCGGGTTGCAGGCTCCATCCCCAGTAGAGGATGTGCAGGAGGCAGCTGATCAAGGATTCTCTCTCATCATTGATGTTTCTATCTCCCTCTCCCCTCCTGTCTGAAATCAATAAAAAAGTATTAAAAAAAATCATAGCCGACCTAACCCTCTATTCTAGGTTCTCTCCCCCATTTCTCTGAATTAGGTCCATTCTTCCTGGAAGCCAATTCCCCATCCCTTGTGAGGCTTCTGGTTGTGCCAGACTGCATTTCTTGTGCCTTGAATCAAAAGGGCTCTTTCACACTTGAGTCTAGACTCTGCACTATTTTTCACACTGAGGTTCAGGGACTACCTTATGCATTACAATGGCCTTGTTAACACATGGCTTCCCAGACTTCTCCCCCTGAGACTGATTAGGTCATGAGTGAGGCACAGGAATTGTCATTTTAGCAGATTCTTCAGGAGATTCTTATAGCCACTGAGTTTGGGAATTCCTAGTCAGAGCCCTAACTGCAGAGGATGCAGGGAGGGACAGCTTTCTAAGATGGACCATAGGTCAGAAGTGAAGTCTACCTGAAATTAGGAAGACATCCTTCTATCTAGACTAACTTTCCAAATTTGGCAACAGAAAGAAAGGAGCAGAGAAAATGAGGGGAGAGAGGGTAAGGAGATATGGTTGGGAGAGACCAGGGTATGAAGTCCTTTATTTGGCCATGGCAGAGAACAGTTGGGTTTCATGTTAAAAGATAAGCTCTAGCTGGTTTGGCTCAGTGGATAGAGCGTTGGCCTGCGGACTGAGGGGTCCCAGGTTCAATTCTGGTCAAGCGTACATGCCAGGGTTGCGGGCTCAATCCCCAGTAGGGGGTGTTCAGGAGGCAGATGATCAATGATTCTCTCTCATCATTGATGTTTCTATCTCTCTCTCTCCCTCTCCCTTCCTCTCTGCAATCAATAAAAATACATTTTTTTTTAAAAAAAAGATAACAGTAAGCCATTGGAGGATTTTTTAAAATGAAAACTAATTTTGAAACAATCTCAAACTAACAAAATTTGCAAAAGCAATGAGACTTCCTGAAGCACTTGAGAGCAAGTTGCCGACCTAATGCCTGTCATTCTTGGATACTTCAATGTGTGTTTTCTCCAGACAAGGATATTCTCCTATATAATCACAATACAACCATCAAAATCAGGCAAAATACAATATTATATAACTACCATTTGATCTTGATACTACATTCAAGTGTTTGCAATTATTCTAATAATGTGCTTTGTAGCAAAAGGACCCAGGTCAGGATCAACTGTTCTATTTAATTGTGAATCTCTCTTTTTTTAAAATTTTTAATTTTAAAGAGAGAGAGAAATGAAAAGGAAGAGACAGAGACATTGATTTGTTGTTCCATTTATTTATGCATTGATTAGTTGATTCTTGTATGTGCTCTGACCGGGGATTGAACCCACAACTTTGGTGTATTGGAGGATGCTCTAACCAACTGAGCTACTGGCCAGGGAATTGTGCATCTCTCTCTCTTTCTCTCTCTCTCTCTCTCTCTCTCTCTCTCTCTCTCTCTGGCTTAATCCTCACCCAAGGATAATTTCCCATTGATTTTTAGAGAGAGTGGGAGGGAGGGAGAGCGAGAGAAACATTGATGTGAGAGAGACCTGCACCAGGGAGAGACCTGCAACCCAGGTACCTGCCCTTGACCAGGAATCAAACCTGCCACCCTTTGGTGCACTGGCTGATGCTCTACCACTGAGCCACACTGGCCAAAACTGTGCACCTCTTTAGTCTCCTTCAGTATGAAACAGTTCCTCAATTTCCTTGACATTCATGACCTTTATTATTTTGAAGATTAAAAGCCAGTTATTTTGTTTACGCTTCTTTAGTTTAGAATTATTTAATTGCATACAATTTTGATTTGTCACATTACTGTTTAACTTTGAATATTTGAATAAAAAGGTATGGTCAGGGCCCTGGACAGGTAGATCAGTTAGTGGGAGTGCTGTCCCAAATACTAAGGTTGAGAGTTCAATCCCCGGTCAGAGCACATACAAAAATAAGTGGAACAACAACTCTCTCTCTCTCTCTCTCATTAAGTAAAAAAAAAAAAAAGTTTTTAAAGGTACAGTCAGGCTTCTCTATATAAAGTTATTATTTTTTCCTTTCTGTTAATTATTTTCTAGGGAAGTACTTTGCACTAAGTAAAATCTCATTCTGCATCTAAACTTAAATTTATTTACTTACTTATATCAAAAAGGACTCAAGTATCCCCACTTAAATGGGATATAAGGATGGTCACAGATTATTTATTGATGCTCAAATTGTCCCAGACTTGGCCAGTGAGACTCCCTTCAGCCCTATTTCTGTGTTGTGCTTTCTGACTTTCTGGCACAACAAGGTACTACAGGCTCATCTTGTACTTTTCCTAGCCCTAGAGTTCACCATTTTTTCTAAGAAGGTCTGCTTCATTTTAGTGAAGAATGGTATTCAGAAACCAAGATCTGGGAGCTAGGTGTGTTCATTGCTGTTGCTGTGTTGCTCATCCCAGGCCTATATTAAAGGATTTTAAGCAGAAAAATATGTTCTCTAACAAATCCAAGAAAAGTAAAGTGAAAATTCTCCTATTCCAAGAGAACTAATGGTGTGACTGTGACTGTCCTAAATAGTCTATCCTTATATATAACTTAAATGGGGTTATGTAGTATAGAGCTGACTTTTCATCCTATAACATGTCATGGGTCTCTTTCCATTTTAATTAGTATAGTATAAATTTTAGTAAATGCACACTATGGACTATGGACTCTGCCAAATGACTTATATAGCATTTCTTATAATCATCACCTTGAGATAGTTACAATTATTCCCATTTTCTAGGGGCAGAGGCCAAGTTTATTCACTGGGATTTAAACCTAAGCTATCATCTCACACTTTTGCATTTAATTGTTGTGAGGGTCCTAATGTACTTGCCTCAACTTTTTAGATTATGAAACTAGTTTAGAGAAATGAGGGGACTTAAGTTCAGAACAATGAAGTAGAAAAGCTAGAATTCAAACCTATGTCACTTTATCGCTAGAGTTGCACTATCCAATGCAGTAGCTACTAGCTATATGTGGTTACTAAATTCTTGAAATTTATCTAGTTGAAATTGAGATGTGTTTACATATAAAGTGCATATAAGATTTTGAAGACTTAATATGGAAAAAATGTAAAATCTTATAAATTTTTTATCTTAGTTATATATATTTTAGATTGAATTAAATATATTACAAGTAATTCCACCTGTTTTTATTTTAAAGTGGCTATTAAAAATTTTATTTATTTATTTATTTATTTATTTATCCTCACCAGAGGATATTTTTTCCAGTGATTTTTAGAAAGAGTGGAAGCGAGGGAGGGAAAGAGAGAGACACACACATCAGTGTGAGAGAGACACATCAATTGGTTGCCTCTCTGAAGTGCCTAGACAGGGATCAAACTTGCAACCCAGGTACATGCCCTTCAGTGCACTGGGTCGAAGCCCTATCCACTTAGCAACCCCGGCCAGGGTATGCTATTAGAAAATTCAAATCAATGGAATAGAATTGAAAGTCCAGAAATAAACCCATGTATCTACGATCAATTGATTTTTTTACAGGGTGCCAAGACTATTCAATAGAGAAAGAATACCCTTTTCAACAAATGGTGGTGGCACAATGGGATAACCACCTGCAAAAGAATAAAACTGGATCCCTACCTCACACTATGTACAAAATTAAGTCAAACTAGATTAAAGAGCTAAATGTAGATCTAAAACTATACAACCCTTAGAAGAAAACATAGGTGTAAGTCTTCATGACTTTGGTTTCTTAGATATGGCACCAAAGCACAACGAACCAAAGGGGGGGGGAATTTGTTTTGCATCAACAGACACTATGAAAAAATGAAAAGACAACCCACAGAATGGGAGAAAATATTTGTGAATCACATATCTCATAAGGATCGAGTATCCAGGCTATATAAAGAACTCATAACTCAATAATAAAAAGACAACCTATTTTAAAATGGACAAGGAGTTTGAGTGGATGTTTCTGTAAAGAATGTAATACAAACGGGTAATAACACATAAAAATGTATTCAACATCTTAGTCATTAAGGAAATGTAAATCAGAATCACTTCATTCTCAATAGCCTGACTAAAATAAAAGATAGACAATAACAAGTGTTGTTTAGAAGAAAACATAGGTGTAAGTCTTCATGACCTTGGTTTCTTAGATATGGCACCAAAGCACAACCCACCAAAAGGGGAAAAAATTTGTTTTGCATCAACAGACACTATGAAAAAATGAAAAAACCCACAGGATGGGAGAAAATATTAGTGAATCACATATCTCATAAAGATCAAGTATCCAGACTATATAAGGAACTCATAACTCAGTAATAAAAAGACAACCTATTTAAAAATGGACAAAGAGTTTGAGTGATGTTTCTGTAAAGAATATAATACAAATGGGTAATAACACATGAAAATGTATTCAATATCTTAGTCATTAGGGAAATGTAAATCAGAATCACTTCATTCCCAATTGCCTGACTAAAATAAAAGATAGACAATAACAAGTGTTGATGAGGTTGTGTAGAAATTGGAATCCTCATACATTGCTGGTGGGAATATAAAATGATGCAGCTACTTTTGAAAACAGTTTGGTAGTTCCTTAAAAAGTTACACATGGAGCCCTAACTGGTTTGGCTCAGTGGATAGAGCATCAGTCTGTGGACTGAAGGGTCCTGGGTTTGATTCTGATCAAGGGCGGAATATATGTATTTTTTAAAAAGTTAAACATGGGGTTGACTATATGACTCAGCAGTGTCACTCCTAGGCATACACCCAGGAAAACAGGAAATATATTTTCACCCAAAAATTCCTTTTGAAAACAGTTTGGTAGTTCCTTAAAAAGTTAAACATGGAGCTCTAACTGGTTTGGCTCAGTAGATAGAGCATCAGTCTATGGGGTTCTGGGTTCGATTCTGGTCAAGGGCATGTACCTTGGTTGCAGGCTCAATCCCCAGTGGGGGGTGTGCAGGAGGCAGCTCATTAATCATGTTGCAACATGGGTGAACCTTTAAACATACTAAGAAGCCAGTGTAAAAAGACCACATAATGTATGATTCTGTTTACATGAAATGTCCAGAACAGCCAAATCCTGTAAAGTAGAAGTTGTCATGGGTTGGGAAATGGGGAATGACTACTAATGGGTACTGAATATATTTTTTAAAAAAGTTAAACATGGGGTTGACTATATGACTCAGCGGTGTCACTCCTAGGCATATACCCAGGAAAACAGGAAATATATTTTCACCCAAAAATTTGGACATGAATGATCATAACAGCATTATTTGTGATACTCAAAAAGGGAAACAATCACAGGTCTATCAATTGATGAATCAATTAAAAATGTAGTATATCTATATTTTAGAATATGATTCAACCATAAAGAGGAGGTAATCATGTTGCAACATGGGTGAACCTTTAAACATACTAAGAAGCCAGTGTAAAAAGACCACATAATGTATGATTCTGTTTACATGAAATGTCCAGAACAGCCAAATCCTGTAAAGTAGAAGTTGTCATGGGTTGGGAAATGGGGAATGACTACTAATGGGTACTGGGTTTCTTTTGATTCTGAAATTAGGTAGTGGTGGTGGTTGCATAACTTTGTGAATGTAGGGGAAAACACTAAATTCTGTACTCTAAAAGGTCAAATTTTATAGCCTATGAATTATATCTCAATAGAAATTTACACATGTAACTTCCATTATATTTTTACTGGACAGAACTCTTCTAGAATATTAACCATGATGCCAGGTACCAAGAGATACCACAATACAGTCTTTGGATGGTGATCTCACAGAAAGAGCCTGAGCTGCCGTCCCATTCCATAGACCCTGGGCCACTTGTTCTTTCCCTCTGATGTGATGTGGGTCTTCCCCATACCAGCTCTGTGGCTGCGTGGGGGTGGCAGAAGCATCACTAACCTTGTTCCCCAGGTCCGGGACACCCTGATGCTGGCAGACAAGCCCTTCTTCCTGGTGCTGGAGGAAGATGGCACAGTGGTAGAGACAGAAGAGTATTTCCAAACCCTGGCAGACGACACAGTGTTCATGGCCCTCCAGAAGGGGCAGAAATGGCAGCCCCCATCAGACCAGGTGAGGTGCCACCTGTGGAGGGAGAACACTGGGAATCAGAAGTCCTTGAGGGGTGCCAACCACACACTTGTCTTGATGCAGGGCTCTAGGTACCAACTCTCCCTCTCCCGTAAGCCTGCCAAGAAGATCGACGTGGCCCGAGTAACTTTTGACCTGTACAAGTTGAACCCACAGGACTTCATTGGCTGCCTGAATGTAAAGGCAACTCTCTATGGCACATACTCCCTTTCCTACAATCTTCACTGCTATGGGGCCAAGCGCGTCATGAAGTGAGTGAATTGGGATTCGCTGGCGGCAGGGTGGGTATGCAGCAATGGGAGAGCCCCTATCTGCTCACATGGACCTCAGCCTTTTAGGGCCTGGAACTGGTATTGATGCTGACAAAGCATGACAACATGTGCTAGATCTTACGGCTGAATTAGTGCTTTACATTTCACTCATGTATGCCAAAGGGGTACACATACTCCTCCAGGTAGAACTGGGATATATTTAGTTTTTCTAATTATCTTCTATTATAACAATTATTTTTTTCCCACTTAAAATAGTAAATTTTCCTAAGTAGTCTTCTAATCTGTTAAAAATGAACATGTGTCAGAGAGTTTATTGAATTCACTAATTAATGAGAGAAAAGAAGTTACAATCAGTTCCAAGGAGAATTCAAAACCCCACCTATATGTATGTCCATCAAGAATGCTGAAATAGCCCTAGCTGGTTTGGCTCAGTGGATAGAGTGTTGGACTGCGAACTGGAAGGTCCCAGGTTAGATTCTGGTCAGGGCACATGCTGAGGTTGTGGGCTCGATCCCCAGTAAGGGGAGTGCAGGAGGCAGCCAATCAATGATTCTCTCTCATCATTGATGTTTCTATCTCTCTTTCCCTCTCCCTTCCTCTCTGAAATCAATAAAAATGTATTAAAAAAAAAAAAAGAATGCTGAAATAGCCCTAACTGGTTTGGCTCAGTGGATAGAGCCTTGGCCCGAGGACTGAAGGGTCCTGGATTCTGGTCAAGGGCATGTACTTTGGTCATGGACTTGATCCCCAGTAGGGGGCTTGCAGGAGGCAGCTGATTGATGTTTCTCTCTCATCCATGTCTCTAACTCTCTATTCCTCTCCCTTCCTCTCTGTAAAAATCGATAAAAAAAATACATATATTTAAATATATTTTTTATTGATTTCAGAGAATTTCAAAGTATTTTTATGTGTAGATGTTTATGGCTCTAATTGTCTTTCTATCCCCCACCACTACCTCCATCTGAATTTATTTATTTATTTATTTATTTATTTTTAGAGACAGAGGGAGAGAGAGAAAAAACATCAGTTTGCTGTTCCACCCATTTATGCATTCACTGGTTGATTTTTTTTTTAAACGTCATTTTATTGGAACTACCTTTTTTTTAAAATATCTTTTATTGAATTTTTTACAGAGGGAGGGAGAGAGAGAAAAAACATTGATTGGTTGTTCCACTTATTTATGCATTCATTAGTTGCTTCTTGTATGTGCCCTGACCGGGGATTGAACCCGCAATCTTAGCATATCGGGACTGGCCAGGGCTTCCACCAGAATTTATTGAATGAAGGTAAATAGAAGACAAGTTTTATTATCAACCAGGAAGTACTTATTTTCCTTTTGTTTTCCCCTCCCTGATCCCCCCTGGGACTGACACCACTAGTGACTCTCATCTATCTTTTAAAAAGATTTGTCTAAGAACTTAGTTAAAATGGTCAAGCATTCAACTAGTTACTCTTGACCCCACATTTCCCCTACTCTTCTACACATCAGACCCCATGTTAAGTGATTTATGCTATTTCAACTTCCTAACCCTGTGTGGGATCACTATAATCCCAGGGTCTACAACAGATGTTGTGAAGGGCAGAGTTATGATCTTCATGTTTTGTAGATCAATATAACATCATCTACATAACATGAGATGTTAGATCATGTTATATTGGTTAGTCCAAGTAGTATTACAAAAATAATAGGTCTTGTTGGACCCAAGGGTCTCAGGTTAGATTCCTGGTCAAGGGCACGTACCTTGGTTCTGGTTCAATCAGAGTACATGCGGGAGGCAACCAATCAATGTGTCTCTTACATCAACGTTTCTTTCTTTCTCTCTTCCTCTCCTTTTTCCTCCCTTCCACCCTCTCTAAAAATCAATGGAAAAAATATCCTCCAGTGAGGATTAAAAAAATAAATTAAACAAACAAATAAATAAATGGCCTTGTTAAATGAGCTTGAATTTTGGACATCTCAATTAAGGTACAATTGCAGGTAATGCCTGTAGACCCCTTCCCATTTGCTGGGGGAAGGCAGCATCTGTTCCTATTTGCATATCACTCTGCAAGTTATGAAATTAGTAAGGGAGCATGGGGGAGGAGCATTTAGGAGATGCCGCCAGGAGTTTTCTCTGTATTTTAACTCTGCTGCCTTCTCCTTCCACCCAGGGAAGCTCTTCGCTGGGCCCTCTTCAGCATGCAGGCCACAGGCCACATGCTGCTCGGCACCTCCTGTTACATGCAGCAGCTTCTGGACGCCACAGAGGAGGGGCAGGCCCCTAAGGGCAAGGCCCCATCCCTCATCCCGACCTGTCTGAAGATACTGCAATGAAGGCCCAAGTCCTCGAAGGCCTTCTCCAGCCAAGGACTAGCCTGGGAACCCCATGCTCAGCTGGTAGCGCCCACAAGCCTGGCAGTTAGAGAGCTTCTTACCTCCCTACGTCTCCCTCACCCACACAGGACTATGAATGTGGAAGCAGGGGGAGGGCTGGAAGCCTGGGATGGGATGGGATGGCCAAAGGAGAGTTGAGGGTTTTTGTCCGGGCCTAGCTCCTCCCTGTCCAAGGTAGCTTAGCTGACCAAGACTGGTCGCCAGCAGGCTAGGCACGAAGTCTGCCCCTCGGCTACCGGTCCTCACATGCTGTACTTTCATCACACTCCCTACCTCCTGGCCCCCATCCCTAATACTCCTGAGTGAATTGTCAGGCCCATTAGTATATGATATTAGAGAGTTGGCAATAAATGGTTTATGCTGATACATCTTTGCCTGTGTTCTTTGGAGATGAGGGTGGAGTTCTATCTGGAAGGTTGGACAGGTCTAAAGGAAAAGAGGAATCTATTGTCAAACCAGTCTCCAAAATATGGGGTTACAGGAAACAGCACTTTTTCTGCCAAAAATGTCTGCTGAATCAGAGACTTGAGCAAACCATATAATCCATACACTAAGTAACAATTTACAAAAGAAATTTGCCTATCAGAAGGGTTTTGATTGGCAGGGTGGGATTAAGGCACTCTTCTAACTTCTCACTGTTGCATTTTATTACAACCTTTTAAGTGTTTAGAACTCAGTGGTTGGCAAACTCATTAGTCAACAGAGACAAATATCAACAGTACTTCTTCAAAATAGACTCGCCCAGGCCAAAAACCAACTTCTGCGCATGGGCCACGAAGTTTCAATCGCACTGTACACGCACCCGCACGTGGTATTTTGTGGAAGAGCCACACTCAAGGGGCCAAAGAGCCGCATGTGGCTCGCGAGCCGCAGTTTGCTGACCACTGGTTTGGTGGTAAAGCACTAACCAAGCTGTAACACAGCTCTCAATCAATGCCTTCCCTAGCTTGGCAGACAGTTCAGAACTTTCAGCCTCAGGATTTCAAAACGAGCTGTTAGGTAGCCACAAAGAATATTAATTTCTCATCAGTGTGAGCTGGCATTTTTCAATATAGGACAACTCAAACAAAACAAGCAAGAAATGTTTGCAGGTGACCATGCTTTAGTCTGTAACTCTCAGAGTCAACAAAGTGTCATTTCTGACCCTTACTTAAAGTCTATTTGGGTTTATTAAGAACAAAGACAAAGGCCTGGGTTAACAAAGCTAGAGTTGGAGAGTTAAGGCTGGCAGCTGACCCATACCCGGCAGCATGTGCGGGAGGAGCTGCCAGAGCTAGCAGAACACTTTCTATTCTGGGCTTTCCTGCTCTTTTTGCAGTTATGGCCGGAGGCTTGGCTCAGTGCCATCCTGGCTCCATGGGGTGGGCCTTCTCACATGGAGGCACATTGTTTATATCAGCACAGAAGCTGTTTCTGGTCACCCTTTGCTGAGTCTGTGGCCTACCTGTTCCTGCTGTAAAGTTGGTCATACACTAAGTTGGGCTGGGGGTGGAAGAGGCTTGGACTTTGTCTCCACTCCCCCTCCTTCTGAGATTCAGAGCTTCACAAAGGAGTACTGAGTGACTGACTCTTGACACTGAGCCCTCCCAGCCCAGGAAAACTTAGGTTCTTCCTTTTCTTCAAGGAGCGTGGAGATTAATGGAGTCACACCAGCAGTGGGCAGTGAATAGGAGAAGACAGGCCTTGATGAGGCTGGGGCACATGGAGGGAAAATTTGAAAGAATGTGGGAGCTCAAGTCTCAGCAGGGCCAGCAGCCAGTCCAAGTAGAGGAATGGTCCCCCCGGGGCCAGCGGAGGAGAGGTCTGCTGCAGTTAGAGCAGGCTGCGTCCCAGCCACTCAGCCTTAGTCTTTCCATCTTGCTCAAGCTGGCACAGGAGACCTTTCAAAAGGATTCTAAAATACCGTGGGGCCTACCCTGACTGGTTAGCTCAGTTGCTTAGAGCATCGTCCCCATACACCATGGTTGGGGGTTCGATCCCCAGTCAGGGCACATACAAGAATCAATCTATGAATGTATAAATAAGTGGAACAACACATTGGTGTTTCTCTCTCTCCTTTCCTCTCTTTCTCTAAAACCAATAAATAAAAATTTAAAATACCATGGGACTTGCCCTAGCCGGTTTGGTTCAGTGGATAGAGCGTTGGCCTGTGGACTGAAGGGTCCCAGGTTTGATTCCAGTCAAGGGCACATGCCCAGATTGTGGGCTCAATTCCCCAATAGGTGGAGTGCAGGAGGCAGCCGATCAATGATTCTCTCTCGTCATTGATGTTTCTATCTCTCTCTCCCTTTCCCTTTCTCTCTGAAATCAATCCTATAAAATAAAAGGGTAATATGCAAATTGTCCCCTCGACTGGGAGTTCCACCAGAGTTTGACCAGAGGGCGGGGCTGGCCCGCCAACTGCCCAGGGTTCCTCCCCCAGGCCAGCCCCACCCCCGATCGCCCCCCCACCTG